GGGAAAGAGATCTTCTAAACTCTCCTGTTACTTGCTTACCACTTCCTGCTGCTGCAGAAAGCCCTTCTGAGCCATCTCAACAACTTCCCTTTCAGCCTTTTCCTACTGATGTTTTATCTTTTCCAACACATAACAGGACTAAGATTTTCCACAGAGAGCATCACCAGGATTGCAACCATTTTCCTATATTTGCCTTTGAGACATAAAATACAGCCTGAACAAGTTTATAGCTAAAATACACTGGAAAACCAGTCTGTAACTTCACCAGGCTATGGATTTGTACTGGGTTTGCATGGCAAGGTTTTGGTAATGGGAGGCTACATTGTAGATGTAGTGAGAAGCCTCCCCTATGTCCAACAGAGCCAATGCCGGCCGGCTCCAAGATGGACCCAGGTGATGGTGAGGCAGGCCTGTCCCCCCGCCGCTCCTGGGGCGCAGCCCATGGAGGACCCCATGCTGGAGCAGGTGGATGCCCGAAGGAGGCTGTGACCCCATGGGAAGCCCATGTTGGAGCAGGCTCCTGGTGGGACCTGTGGCCCCATGGAGAGAAGAGCTCATCCTGGAGCAGGTCTGCCGGCAGGACTTGTGACCCTGTGGGGGACCCATGCTGGAGCATTCTGTTCCTGAAGAACTGTATCCATGGCAGGAACCCCGGCTGGAGCAGTTCATGAAGAACTGCAGCCTGTGGGAAGAACCCACATCAGAGAAGTTCATGGAGGACTGTCTCCCATGGGAGGGACCCCATGCTGGAGCACGAGAAGAGTGAGGAGTCCTCCCCCTAAGGAGGAAGAAGCGGGAGAGACAACATGCAATGAACTGACCACAACCCCCATGCCCCATCCCCCTGTGCCACTGGGTAGAGAAGAGGTAGAGAATTAAACCACAGTTAAGCCCAGGAAGAAGGGAGGGATAGGGGGAAGGTATTTTGAAGATTTAGTTTTTATTTACTTGTTATCCTACTCAAGGATAGAGTACAAACCATTCAATCTGCCTGAGCCCTGTTAGATGTGATGCATTTCCTCACTGACAGTCACTAGCATGGTTATGAAGACAATGAATTACACTTATACAAGGCTACTAGGCTGCCTAGTCCAGTCACAGAGTCTGTCTACAGTAACACTGGATGTACTGGATCAGCAGAATATTAATATTTCCACTGAAGATTCTCTTTTGCTTTTACATCGTTGTAAAAGATAAGTCTATTCTAGTGTGATTTAGATGAGACACCACCAGAACAAATGGAGACATAGAAAATACACATTTTCAAGATCACTAGTGGGAAATATTTATAAAAACTGCAAGGAAACTACTAATGAACCCAAAAAAGGGGACAGATTATGATTTGTTATTACAAGTGTGCATCTTTGCTGCCTACCTTTATCTCTTGCTGCTGTAAGAGAATCCAGTTGTAAATTTCATTAAGCAACAGCATCTCCAGATGTTTTACTTCATTGCATACCTCATCTTTCTTCCCCTCTGCCTCAAACTGTTCAGCACTACTGCAAAGTTTTAACCAAGGTAGGTCATGAGCCGTGTGCTCCAATTACACTTGTTTCCAGGAACCAGTGCAATAAAAGAGCAGAACTACACACTACTACACTACTGATCCACAGACCTTTATTACTACTGTTTCAGCTTGGTCTCAGCATTTCCCCCTGTGATGGGGGGCCAACACAGATTTAATCAGTACAGAGTCAACATATTGAAACTATTTCATTTGTTAACAGCCATACAACTCCCCTTCCTACGGCTGAAAACGCCATGATTTAAGACAGGATTCACACTCCTTACCTACTGAGCTGGAAAGAAACATCTGACTATGATATAGCCTTTACCTTGTCTGAGAAAAGAAATGGAGTTACACATCCATGAAAATCTACTACTGACTTTAGAAGAAGAAAGCGTGCTGTTTTAAAACTGGTATGTAGAACAATCAAACTGAGATCACAACCTTCAAAACAAAGGTTTACCTGTTCGGATGTCAAAGCCTTCAGGCTGAGTCAGACCATCAATGATCAGCTGCAGTGTGTGCACCGTTGTATTTAGCCTTTTGGCTGTGCCTTCTAGTCCTTCCTTTTGAATTACTGCATTTACTTTTTGCTGCATATCTGATTTTCCTATGTCATTTGCATTTCCTCCAATGAAAGATAAAAACCTGGGAAGTTCAAACAAAGATACAGAGAGAGATTTGTAACATCCTTTAGTGGGAACCGAACCTTTGCTGTGTTTAGGGGTTTTAATTACTTTTGCATTGATGTGTGAACAAAACTTCTGATTAAAAAATATGAACAGTGAACAGTTTCCCAAGTTCATATCCTCTAAACTCATCAGTGATCACAGACACACATGGAAACTTAGAGTCTACCTGTATACATGTATCTCCTGGAATAGATTACAAAACTAGAAGCAAAAATTCAAAATGTAAATCATTTCTCAGACCAACAATTTCATCTCATGCTAAAACTGAATCTGATTATGACTGAAAGATGTCTTTTGCCATGAAAGTCCCCGGAATCAAGTGAGAGTTCTATAGTACTGTCATTTTTATTGTCACACTCATTCAAATTAAAAGGAACAGCAATTTAGTAAAACAATGACTTTTTAAAATATTAAATTAATATGAAGAATCCTTAAGCAAATTTAAGAAAAACTTTACATAAAATACTACTTTTGTCTATGAACTTCATGATTAAGAACAATTACTTTTTCAGAAACTAGGAAATTATCAAGTCAAAATAGTTAAACAACACAAACACCCTTACTCTTCCCTATTGTCACATACATACACACATTGCAGACAGACAAATTTGGACTGGCATTTAAAAAGGCTGAAAAGACATACTTTAAATATGTCTTGATCCCACAGCACACTTACTGAGGTTTTTAGTTCAGCAATGTTGCCACATATGCTGAGAAGCACAGAGAATAGGTGACAAAAATTCACATGCAGAGTCTACTCATTATCAGTAGTGATGCCTTAGACAATGTTTACTTGTCACTGAATAAACGTCATTATTTTACTGAAGGACTTAAAATAACGCAAACCAAGTCTTTAACGGATATAAACCAATGAAAATGAGATGCGGCTCATAGAAGATGAGCCGCTTCATACTAAAAGCGGTTTGTCCTTTTCTCAGTAGACACTTCAGTTACCTGTCCTGCTGCCCTGCTCTGCATCTCACCACGGTAAAGCAGGGTACAAGAGGCTTATTCATGTCCCCTAATGCTGGAGGGAGGCACATGGTTTTTTGTATGTTCTCCACCACAGCAGTTAGATAGAATTATTGTCCCTGTCCTCCAGTCTGAGTAAACATTCCTTCCAAACTCCTAAAAGAGATCCCTCCTTCCTGTCCTTATCCTACTTCACAACAGGTGTAAACTACAAGCCACAAAAGCAGTGCTGACCAGCAGGTTCATGCCCTGCACTTGGGAGTGGTGGGAGATATTCCAGCTCCGTAAGAAAGCAAAAGCCCCTGGTATTCATCCTCCCACTCCCCCTTTCCAAAAAAGCATGCTGTGCTTTCGTCAAAACCTGACGCTAGTATTTCTTTTGGCAGGAGACACAGTGGTTTTTTTCGTTTTGTTGTTGTTTTTTTTTTTTTTTTTTTTTTAACCTGAGGAACCCAACTAACATTATTTCAGGTGGTAAGTGATAATGTTACATGCACTGAAATACAAAATTACATTTTTTTTTGAGAAAATATAAATTAAAGGAACATAACCAAACCAATATCCAACTTTCAGTGAAGCACAAAATTAATTTTTGAGCACAAGGGCAAATCTTCACTCCAAAATGTCCACTGATTTCACCAGGAGGAAGCCATCCATTAAAATTGTCTGTCAGGACTTCTACTTTTTTACTGAATTCAAATGCAAGCATGACGATTTAAGTGTACTGTTAGCTCAAACACATTTTCATTTAAGAGTAATAGATATAATTTTCATATTAATTTTCTTAATGCATACAGATGTTTCATGTGGCAATGTATGAAGAAAAAATTAATAAAGATTCAGTGGATGATACTGTTCTCAGAATTTAGTAAATTTTGTTTTGATTGACTGCATGTCAACCTTTGATACCACTTCTTGAAGTAGTTTGAGGTGGCTTGGAAACAAAGTAAGTGTCACCACAGATGCAAAATGTACAATATTAAATAAAAAAAAAATCTGTAAACTAACAACAAGACACTACTACTGCTCAAATATTTTGTCTAATAAGAACGTATACACGAAAAAAATCAGACCTTCTATGAAACCATCTCGTGTTGGTCTCAAAAGAGCACTAAAAGTGATTGCAATGATAATACTGACAATGTGCGTAGGTCCAGATGAAGTGCTGTTCCCAAAATTATTGGGGGCTGCCAGCCGCTAACATTGATGGATGGACAATGCCCCACCAGAGCACTAGTGACAGGCAGCAGCTGCCCCAGCTTTGACTGACGTGCCAGATGTAACACAACAAACCTGACCAGCCTCATGACTCAACCTTCTAAATAATGTATGCTTTACCACCCGCCCCTGTAAACAAGTTTGCTGACATTCACATACTGGGCTTTATTTCACTTCAAATGGAAATCCAGCTCGAGTACCTCCAAGTAACATTTTTTCACTGTTAGGATTTCACAGAAGCACACTGACTTTGTAAATCGATAACAGGGTGAGTTTCGCTGCTAGTAAGTGCAACCACATGGAACAGCCACCGATGTATTGGGAAAAAAAAAAAAAGCCCGTTATATACAAAACAGTTGACTGTGTGGATAATGCAACCAGAATGCACGGTGCTACGTGCGGGCTGCTGGAAAGAAACCCAGCCCGAAACAGGACACAACCCAGGTGCCTGAGCCCTCAATTACTACCCATGAAAGTTATTTTGCTCCCCTTCCTCTGCCTCCCCCACCCTCCGGAAATCCCAATGAAAGTATTTATCTGATATTAAAAAGGATTCCTCATCTAGACAAGGGTGGTAGGTTTGGGCCCTACGTTATCACTTACAGTTGTTTAAGTAACTTAGTAACATGGCTACTGTTCAGAATATAATTTTGGCTCCACCTGAAGACGATGCTTAAACACGTGCCCAAATCTAAGTACATGATAAGTCCCACTAACCTCAGCAGAATTGTTAATGTTCTAAGAGTCAGGCATTTGGTTAAGAATATTTCAGAATTACGACACTTCTTATAGGCAGAACAGAGCACTGTAACAAGGCCCACCCTGCACCTACACACAAAAGAAAAAATGTATTTTTATTTTGGAAATTTTTACCTTTTTAGGCTAGGTTTTGGTAAAACTTATGTATTAAAATATTTCCAAACAGAAGCAATTCCTTAGTGATCACTGATATAGTTTTTAAAAATGCTGTTGAATCTAGTTTTAATGTATGATGTTCACTCAAATGAACGTAGCCTGAGGGCACTTAAAATTAAAAAAAATCAATATAAAGCACAAACCTGGATGAACAGTGGCACATTATATTGGTAATTTCTATTTTTAAATGTCATTTTAAAAAGTTAAATGTTTCCTTATTAAAACAGCAACCCAAGAACTTCATTCGAGACCTATTTCAAGGTCAGAAAAAAGGATATAGTCAGTAATAAGACTGGGATGTGGCTACAGGGGGGAAAAAAGGTTTCCCTTAATTTACATATTTTGATCTTTGTAATGTTAAACTATCTCACTACAATTTTTGAAATATCTCATCCAATTTGTAAATGACAGTTCCAGCTGCACAACATAGGAACATGAACGTTCTGTGCAAAAATGAAAGCCCTTCAAGTATTTTCCTGGTTACATATGTCAACTAAATAACACGTTGCAGTAGTTCAATGTTTATCCACCAGAAGGATAAAACCTAAAGAAAAGTTAAAAGAAATGAAAATGGGAAAGATGAGACTTTTTTTCTGAAGTGAGGTAATTCTTGTAAGATATACTATCCTTACTTCCTCAGTGTTGAGCGTCTGAATGAATGGTGAACTTTCTGTTCAAGGCACACCAACTCAGATAAAAGCTGCCAGAATCTTAGGAGAGTCTTTCAGCACAGAGAGAGATTTAGTTGGTTTAGAGACTTTGAGGTTTATGGTTTTGCGATTTAGAGGATACTCAGAAACCTCTGCAACCACCTTAGTTTTAAAAGCAATCTTTGCAATCTTACAGGACCTGCAGAGAATGGTCATGGCTAAATCACTGATGTTTTTATTTAATACATAATTTCATCCATCTTACCCAGATAAAGAAAGAAAAGTAGCATAAATGTAACAAATAAGCACATCATGTTCACTTAACATACCCATCTGCACAAAATTACAGCACAGCCCTTGCAATGCTTAAAATTTGCAATTTTGCAAATTTTAGTGGAATGTAAAAAACAGTCAGAAAAGAGTAAAAAGGGAAGCGGTCAGTAAATTTTTAAGAAGTTCCTTTAAACCTCCCAAAAAACTTCTTATAATGTGCAGGAGTTCTAAAGATTTGCAAGGGTTTTAGTCAGTCATTTCTGTTTTATGTAATCATTTCCAGCAATATGACTTAAGAGCTGGGAGTACTGGATTCATTACAGTAAAGCAACATGATATGCCATTACATCTTGTCACAGTGCACACATGAATTAATGGTAATGCAACATAATCACTCTGAAAACAAAACAACTCTGCATTAGCATGTGCTTTGTCAGGTAAAATATACACTCATGACAGTGGCAAACTTTAATTATGCAGACATTTATGTTTTAGTAACATTTCTAACGCAAAAGCAGTATTTGTATAATGCAGATGTTGACTGTTCTTTTCTCACTAGTGATAAGGATCCTCAATTTTCAACTACTGATGCAAATTATATATCAAATTATATTTGTGCATTACTCTCTGTAATTAGTTGCTGGATGAAGAAAGTTAAAGTTTCAAATATATTTCAAACTAGTTATGTGGTTTAACCAGATAAGGATATTTAACGAATTTGTTTGTCCTCAAATGCACAAATTATTAATATTCCAGATTACCTGGCTGCATGCAGAAGACCAGAGAGCACTCAGATGTATACATTTGAAATGTCATAAACTAAGAAACAACAAGTTTCTGAATGAGAAAAGCAATTCAGACATGGTTACGTTGCAGCATAGCCCCTTTGCTACTACCATACTTTCAGGCATGCTGCTGTTAGCAGTTT